TGTGTGTGTGTGTGTGTGTGTGTGCGCCTCTCACCTAGTTTGACCTCTGCGTTCTCCGTCAGCAGCACGTTCTGGCCTTTAATATCCCTGTGGATGACCTTGTGTTGGTGGAGATGAGTCAGACCCTGAAGACAGAAACATAATTCAGTCATTTCTTATCGACACAACAAAACCCAGCATGCAACTGGGACAATAACACAACAACCTTTGAAAAACACGAACACGAGAATAAAGAGTCGTTTCGTTCAAGGTGAACATTGGACCTGGTTTGTTTTAGCCGGTTCTGATATTATTCATGTTTTTGACGCTCGACCTGCTCTTTGTGTGTTCGGTTTATTTCAGGGTTCTCACCCGGAGGATCTCTCTGCAGATGTAGGCGATCCACTCCTCCTTCAGCGAGCTCCCTTTGGTGTTTTTGATCAGATCTGTGACGGAGCCGGCGCCGCAGAACTCCATGACGAGCTGCACACACACACACACACAAGCATCGGAGTTGACATCTGCTCCCTCACTCTTAAGAAAATACAATTCTCGTCTAATCTGTTGTTGGAATCTGTTTCAGTTGAGTCTGGAGGAATCAGGATCTTTGTTTAAAATAAAAAACGACAAATTAAAGAGCTAATTTTTTTCTTTGATTAAAATTGAAATTAAAACAGTCGACAGGAGCCGTTTCACTTTTATCGTCAATCCACTTAATTTTCCATACGACAATAACAATAACTTCTTCATTATAACGACAGTGACTCCGTTCCCCGGTGGCTTTTGAAACGACAGTAAGGTCTCGATCTCTCGGTTTAAACTGCTTTGACATAATGAATGTTGTGATTCAGCTCGATACAAATTCAGTTTCTCCTTGAAAAGATAAAAATCCAAATCCCTCTAAACATCTTTCTCCTCATTCAGTGTTGACTTTGGAAATCGTTAATGAAAATGAGTCCCGGGAACGAGGAGCAATCCGAGGAGGAATTAGTAAACAAATGTAACGGAGCGCTCTAACGGACGAGGAGGTCACAGCGGCGGCGGCGGCGTACGTACCCACAGCTGGTCGTCCATGCCGGGAGGATTCTTCTTGACGAAGGCTCCATAGTAGGTGGCGATGTTCCTGTGGTGACTGTACTTCTTCAACATGTTGATCTCTGCTTTAATCTCCTCCTCCTCGTCCTGTCACACACACAGTTCAATGATACTATGCAACTGTGTGTGGGACGTACACAGCAAGGCTGCGTGTGTGTATGTGTGTGCGTGTGCGTGTGCGTGTGTGTATGTGTGTCACTCACTCCTGTGACGTCCATAACCTTGATGGCAGCGAGCTGACCTGTTTTGACATGACGACCCTGAAACACAGAGAGACAAACACTTATCACTTTATCAAAGTGTATCAGTCATTTAGTGTGTGTGTGTGTGTGTGTGTGTGTGTGTGTGTGTGTGTGTGTG